TGTTGTTTTCTTTCTTCAATGGGAGGGTATGAATAAATTTGAGGACGACTGTATACAGTCAGTGATCCCAATACTAACACTCAGCTTTGACGCCATCTGGCGGCCATGATGCACAGCCAAAGGCCAAATACTTGTCTCATCAAAAACAGCTTGTCTAATCAAATACTTGTCAGTCCTTTAGAGAGCAGTACTTGAACAAAGGAGATGTAAACGAAAGCACCAGAAAACAAAAGCAACTCTGCCCTGTTGTTCAAATACAGTCACAGACCAAATGCCACACTTGGTTTTAAAGTAGCGCCGTTACAGTCAGCTTCGTACTGTATCATTTACTGTACTACAGTAATCATTACCGTTAACGCCATTCTGTTGGTGCAGTTTGTAGTAAATAGTAGGTGTATATTTTTAATTTACATATTAAATGGGAAAGATACACATCATACAACACTCAGTTACAGTTAACGCAAATATAACGTTAGTTTATCCCCCAAGAAATACATTTTACATTAGAAATATATGACACTTTCTTATTTTTGTCTCTCTCGCTGCCTTTTAACTGACTTAATATTTCGTCATAGCAACCGGCTCACAGCTGTCCAGCTAAACGACATCTCCCAGAATGCACCGCGGCTTCTAGTGACATCCACGCTTCGGTGAGGTGAAGCGGTTGTTTTCGTCCCGATGTGTGTAACTAGCTACCTGTAACGGAGGAATAACGGCTGATACACCTGAATTCCCGCGGTGTCCCGGGCCTGTAGGGTATCCGACACCCTCTGGAATTATTGTCCGACTGAGGGTTTCCGTCCCGGTTTCGTTTTCGGTCAGTTTATCGCCATGTTATCATCCGTTCCCACCAGGCTAATTGCGCGAAGGTCGCGCAGCCTGTCGCCGTGTAGCCGCGTGCTCAAGACCAGCGCAGGCGGCGCCGCGAGCCACAGCATCCGGGAGACACCGGCGGAGACCAACCGGAACCCCATCGTGTCCACGTCCCGGACCTCTAGACGGGGGATTTTAGCAGAGGAGACCGCTGGAACCAGTGTGAACTCATCGGTGCAGTACCACCACCTCGCCCCTAGATGGCTGTCTAACCTGGAGAACCGCCGCAGCTCCTGGGCGGCTCTGGCCAGCAGGGGGCGCAACAACAACCAATACTGGGAGGAGAGCGGCCGGAGCGGCGGGGGTGAAGGCGAGGGAACAGGTGGAGGAGCCAGCCGGGCAGGGCTGGCCTCTGCCGGTGTGCTGTCTGCTGCAGCTGTGGCCCTCTGTCTGAAGAAAGACTCTGACAACAAAGGTACACAGAATTACAATGGGCTTGTCTGACGAACTGTAATTTAAATGCCTCATACGGATTCTTCACTGACTAGTGTTGTGTTGAAAATATTGTACATTTTTGATAGATAGATAGATAGATAGATAGATAGATAGATAGATAGATAGATAGATAGATAGATAGGTAGGTAGATGCTTTATTGATTTATTGATTGTAATTTTTATTTTTGAAAACTAGGCATTCAGAAAAATATAACTAAATAAAAAAAGTGCACTGCAGTATAGATGTGGTACATATACATAGCAGGGTGTGATGCCGTATATGTTATGGTGGTGAATATAAATGTGATTAAACTTTGGCGGGTAAATGTGCTGTGCAGAGGCTGGTGGGCTTTCTGAATGGACAGCAGTTTGTGAACAATAGTGTTGTGGGCCAACTTTATTTGCACATTTTTGCAAAATGCATACTAGTGTTATCATTAGACTTAGCAGAATATTACAGAAATATGTTTGGGCTTGAAAACTGTATGGGAATATACATATTGTGGGATTTAAAAGCAAAAAAGTCTTAATTTAACTATTTTATCTTGTAAAGTAAAATAGGAATTATTATGAATACGTTCTTCTTGTGTCGCTAATGTTCTGTTTATTTGTTTCTGTTTGTGCAATAACAAGGTGACGCTCTTCTGGAGGCAGCGAGGACCAATAATGATCAAGATGTGGCCAGGTACCACGGAAACTCCCACACACACAAACACTGTCGGTCTTAATGAATAAACATTTGCTAGTCATGTATTTACAGTATTCAATGCGCGTCTGTTTTTTAACTTACATATTTTACACACCTCCAAGCGCTACAATACTTTGCACTGCAGCTTGTAGATGCATCTCTAGATCTCAGGGGTATCCAAATTCACAGAGGCTGTTAGCAAGTGCAGTAATAGTGCTTTATATGTTGGACCATGTCAGACTTGTGTATAATAAAATGTCTGTGGACTGTGTGAAGTTGATGATACATGCTGATCATTGTCTGAATATTTTGGGATGCTTGAACTTTAATTTATGGATATTTTCTAAAGACATGATGAATAATGATTGATTTAAATTTTATGAAGCTGAACTTTTATTGAGAGTAATTGTCACAATGTTCTTACTTAAAGAAGGAGGCTCGACTTGATAATATTAGTCCTTGTGATCTGAAAATGTCATTTAAGATAAAATATTTCCTTTTGTTTATGTATTTTAGTTGAAATCAGCCATACTTTTTTTTAACAGTTGTAGTCATACCTTGTGACATAGATCTTGGTCTTTGATATTGTACGTAGTTGTTAAATGTTGTAGGTCTCTTGTTTACATATATATATATATGTAAACAATAAATTATTTATTCTTTTTTTTTTGTTTTTTTTTTTTTTAACCAAAGATCGTATTCACTGCTATTAACTGTAATATTGTAAGCAGTTTCATATATTGTGGCAGGCATAAAGCCAAACTCTGTTATGACAAAGTCTGCCAACACAACATGTAATTCTGTATATCTGAACAAAGACACCACATGGTTACATCCACAGTGACCTTTGCAATACAATAATTCCGACCTGTAATGGGCTCAGGCTCTGGTTTTCCAGCTTTTTATAGCCCTGTGTGCTGTCACAAATCCTATGCTGAAGTCTATTTCCAGAACAGTCAGGGCCATGTACAGGTATGAAAGCACACAGTTTTATTTCCTGTAGTTGTAGTTTTCACCTTTCACCACCAGGTGGAGGAGAAGGACCACCTGTGTCTGTAAAAGTGTTGGTGGGGAAGATGTTTGTGGGATGGATGCCACATTCAGACATTCTTGGCTCTTTTTAAACTGTGTGTCTTGCTTGTTTTTGTTCCTTCTGATTTTAAGCTTTTAAAAGATGTTATTTTCTCACATTGTGTTACCTTTATTTATCTTTTCTCATTTATCCTCTATAATTTAACTGCACACTCAGAACTAGGCACCAGGAATGGGTGTACAATGTGAATAGAGGTGTATGTGTGTGTGTGTGTGTGTGTGTGTGTGTGTGTGTATGTGTGTGTTATAAGCCAGTATTATGTCTTTGATCAATCATGCTGATGGTGTTCCATTACAAAACTCGGATGGAGAATATGCAAATGGCACAGAAGTACATACTATGTAGCAAGGTACATAAATTGACTCATGAAACTGAAAATGTAATTTTGGCAACAAGATGTTAAAGATGTCTGTGTACACAGTATGTATGTTTAGATACATACAATGTGTTTCACACAGATTGATCTTCATGTTAGCACTTGGAAGAAACATGTGATAAATGGGTAATTGCTTGTGCTCGTGGTGTTATCGCGTATAGGTATCCAATGCCAGGTATTTGAGTGTGTGCATACATGTGTTTATCGATGTGTGTCTCCATTTGCAGGCTTGGGTTACCTGTGCACATGTGGCAGATGGTGTAGGTGAGAGTGCAGTGAGACAGTCAGTTAGCAGGTCACAGATGTGTTAAGTGCTTTGCTTGAGTTTCCAGAAGTGGTGAAGTGTCTGTTGAGAGGCAGTCCAGAGAGTCGATGTCTCCTTTTCACAAAGGCTCGACAAAAGATCTGCAAATGTGGTGGAAAACTTTGACCATGTTGAGTCAGTCTCAGAGAGTACATATAAAGCTGATTTGCCATCATTTATGAGACTTTTATCTTAATAAAAAGCATGTTGTTGACAGTTGATCCCAATGCTAAAATGTTTGGGTTGGAAGATTAATCATGTTTTGTGCTGATATTCAATATTTTACTTATTAATTTTAATTGTTGAATATGTATTTTGCTGTTGTTGGATAGAAACGTGTAGAGTTAGACAGAAGAGTGTGACATATTATACGTGTCCCTAACAGGAATTGAATTGGGGGCAGTTATTTGGTATGCATGCAAAAAATGTGGATATTTAGTACATATGAAACTGCAGTTAAAAATAGCTTTCCTTCTTGCAGTAATATTACTACGAGAAGAGAAAAGCCTGTGAAGCAGCATTTTGTGTCTGTGATACTACAACTCACAGTAAAACTCATAGTAAAGAAATAATGTTAGATTGGTAAATCCTGTCATAAGACCTGGTTATTTTCTTTTCATAGTTGCAGGAGATATTATTGCAATAATATTCCATTTGATTAATGGTAATGCTTGGCTGTTGCATTGGCCAAACACTTAAAATATACCTAAAAGTAAACCTATGTCACATTTAAAAGCACCAGCTCTGTATGTCTTCTCATGTAGCTGTTGAACTTACTTGACCAAAGCCCTTTGCCTCTGCATGCAACACAGTTAATCTACAATACTTTTCCATCCACTCCTGTCATGTATTTGCTTGGTGAAATGGACAAGCTTTGACTTCCCGCAATGCCCATTCCTCAACATCAAGACCTTCTGATAAAATTAAAGTAGCAAGAGCTACTCAGTTAGGCTAAACTGAAACAAGTTCTACACCCTGAAAGGCCTGAGTGCATCTGTAGCGGTGAGCCATTTTCTCTGCCCAAACCCTGATACTGTGTACAGACCAGGCAGTGAAAACGGAGTCAGGGAGCATCAGCACTGAGTGCAGACCAGACAGAGGCCACTGTGTTGACTATAAACACACACACTGTCTGCCTGCTCAGCACAAGGGACGACAGACGGATCGCTTACACGCACACTTACAAGAACTGTGCCACACCAGGACCTGATGTTATACCCTCGAGCAGAAAACTCAACACACACCTGGCTTGCACACACAGACACGTGAACTGCTCAATGAACAAATGTACAGCATCAGATGAAGACAAAGACAAAATGTACTGGTTAAATGCTGGTGTGTCTAACAAGCCATGTTCTTAATACAAACTCACAAACAGCTGGCTTGCCATATTTCACGTCTTCATATTTGGTACTTTTCATTTGCATCCTTTTCCTTGAAGTACGAATGAATCTATATGGTCTACTACCATTATATCCTGGTATATGTGAAAATATGAAAGACTGCAACATATTGACAGCATTACTGTACTGTGACAATAAAGTAAAAATGAAACCACTCTTTCTTTTTCCCATCAGGCTGGTAAAAGAGGGGGTGGACCCAAATCAGCGCCATCGTCTCGGTTGGACCGCTCTCATGGTGGCTGCCATGAACCGACAGCACAGGTTTGTGTATATCATTGAGCTAAACTTGCTGAACAAGTGTTTTAAACTTTTGTAATGCCCTACACAACGAACATATGTAGCAGTACTGTAGTGGTTTGGTATCATGCAGCTGTCTGCATGAGTTAGCGTGTGAGCATATGTTATCCACGACTCTGCTCTAGTCGTTACAGTACGTCATCAAGAGTGCAAAGAGCAACTTTCAGACTGACAGACGGTCTTTACTCGTTCCCCCATCTCTCTGTCCAACAAATTAAATTAGCCTCCTGGCCCCCAGAACACACACAACACAGAGAGGGGCCGAGGTTAAGGCCGGGCCAAATCCAATTTACAGGGCTTTTTTTTCCTCCATCAGGATTGTGTGGTCACTTTTTTGTGAAAAGGCCTCATGAGCGAGAAGCATTATGTGAAATTCGAATATAAAAATAGCTTGAAATGAGCTTACTTTAAATGTCAGGACTATAATTTCTCCTTTTCAAGTTTTTCCACATAGTTTGAATCAGTACTCCAAAATTGAAAAATGAAGAATTATGTGACACCATAAGTGTGAAGGCAACAATATAGGACAAGTATTGTTTTCAGTTTTTAGACTTTTGAGCATATAATTTGTGTCAATGTGAAAATTTAGTTTTTGTGTGGTTTATATCTGTGCTCTAAAACTTACTTCTTCTATTAGCTCATTTATGTTGAAACTATTTTTTGCTTATTCAAGCAACAAAAAGCTAATAATCAGCAATTTTGATAATTGGTTAATAGTTGCAAGTTTCCTATCCAGAAAAGATTCCAATCATTTGCTGCTTTCAGCTTATCAAGTATGAGAATTGGCTGTTTTTATATGATTGTATATTAATTGTTGCAGTATTTTGGACAAAACAAATGATGTGTAGATGTCACCATGGACTCTTTTTCACAATTTGATGAATATTGTCCACAATTCTCTGCTATTTTGCATACACTAATCAGTCTTAAAAATAATTCTTACTTGTAGTGTGTATTCGTCCGTGGTTTGATCTATAGCTAATCCTCAAAGACAAATACAATCATACGCTTTGATCATTTTGCATTGTGATCTCTTGGCTGCAGTATGTCCTTATATTTACATCATGTGTGTGCTGAGTGATAATCACTGTGTGGATGTTGATGTATGTCATCTTGTGTTTAATGTTTTCTAATGATGTGTCAAGTGTTTTTGGATACAAATTTTATTGTATGCGTGTTTGTTTCTTTAGTCTGTGTGTCACTGCACTGTCTTTTGTGTGTGTGTGTGTATGTGTTATGAGTGCTATAACTCAGCGAGACAGTGGCACTCCTCTGTGTTTAATCCTGGCCTCCAACCCCCCAGTGAGCCGTCACTGCTGCAGGGAAGACAGAACATCGGTTCACACACATCAGTCACACACACACTCACACACACACTCACACACACTTACATCCACTCACAAAACATCCACACACACGCACACATACACAAGTGAGGAGACAAGGGGAGTTTATACCAAATATCTTACAGGCCAACTGCCTATTACTCAGCCACACACAACTTTATTTGCAGCCGTTAAGTGAAAACACAGGGAACATTACTCATGAACGAGGTCTAGCCCATAGCTAGGATGTCAGTCTGGAGCTCACTGTTGAATTATTCCAGCCCTCTCTCACTTTGTATTTATATTTTACTGGTACAGAAGTGATAATTGTGCTTCAAGAGACAGGAGATTTCAGCGCAGAGCCATTTCAATAGAAACTGTGGAAGTGCTGTCTTGTTTCTAGATGTAGCATCCACCAGGAAGCCTCTCCTGTGTTCAGGGGTCGAGGTGTGGCTGTGTGAGAGAATCAGGGGTGGAGCAGAGGGGTGTGTGTAAGAATTAAGGGTGAGACATTGGGGGGCGTGTGTTTGCTTAGCTTTGATGTGGGGCTAAATCAGGGAGGCGCAGGGCCTGGCCCTCTGTTTGCACTCTTTAACGCACAATGCCCATCTCCATCTCTCTTTCTGTCCCTCCATCCCTCCCTCCCTGCATTCACGTGCACAATGAGCGCTCAGCCAAGTGTAGCGCCTGTTGACCGTTCCGACCTGTCGGCCGAGTGACTTGATGGGAGGGAGGGGGACAGAAACGAGGGAAAGCAGAGGGATGATGGAACGAGAGGATGAGTGGCTCATTGGGGGGGCGAAGAGAGAATAGTTTAGCAGCAGAGAGAGAGTGATGTGGAGAGGGATTATGGGTTTGGGACCAGGATTAGCTGGTCTTGCTCATTCTTGGTGAAATATTATCATCATTTAGTCAAGATACAACATAATTGTGATGGTAAGCTGTCTGGTTTAGAAACAGAGACAGTTCTCTTCACACTATTTTCTTTTTAAAATACTTGTTTTTTTGAGAGACAATGGAGAGAGACAGAAAATACAGGGGAAGTGAGCAGGGGAAGAACATGCAGTTCCAGCTGGCAAAGAGTCGAACCGTGGGCATTAATGCCTTCATCTGGTCACCTCTTTTCATGCTATGCTAAGACAAATGCCCCTCAGATGGGCTCTGATAATAAATAAGCAGCCACATCAGAGCCACATTTAACAGAATTCATGTAATTTTTTCTAAAATGTGCACATTTTTAAGGTTTTCTAGGAGCAAAGTTGTAATTTTTCCAAGAATACAGCGCTTGAAATAAGATCACAGCCTCCTCCTTTAATATCACAGATATATGTAGTGATTAGAAGAGTAGAAGCTGTTAAAAGTTGGACATGAACTTCACTGCTTAACACAGTCAGTTTGGGTTACAGTGAATAATTGCTAAATTCTTATCTCAATTCTTACAGTTAACAAAAAATGTATATCTTAAAATGTATGAACGGTCCAATGACTGTTTAAATTTTGACCAATCATGTTGTTTGGCTAAAATAAAAATACAATACATAAGCGCAGTGAAAACCTCTCTTCCTAGCATCTATTTGACCCCAGGTGTGCACCAGGTGAGGGAGGGTCAAGTGAGGTCCAACGTCTGGGCCAGGTGGTCAGAGACATGGATGGTCAGTTCAGCTCGGGTGTCCATTATAGCACAAGGGAGACGGAAGTGTCTGTTTCCTGTCTTCCCTCCAGGGCCGAATTGGAAACTAATACCAGTCACCTGCTGGTAATGCTGAAACCCAGTTGGAAGGTTAAATCTTATCAGTCTGACCAGCGACGTGTTAAATAATGAATGGCAACAACAATTTGATACAAAAGCAGGATGGTGTAACTGGGAGACTCGATTAGCTCCAATGCAGCTGAACATTAACTCACATATATTCTTTGGTGAAGTGGGTAGAATAAGCGGTTAGATGAATGGTTTGTATCCCCGGATAACATGCAAATGTGGACATAAAGTCAGCAGCTAGGTAACTCTCTCTTTATTAAACAAGCACACGTTTTGTTTTAATTGAGCCATAAACCTAAACTGATATTGTAATTTGCAGGTAATAATGTTCCTGTATTATAAGATTGTATCAGGAAGTCAGTGATTATAACTTTTTGCCCAGTCCTTTAAAATGGGACTTTAACCTAATTAACCTCTGCATGCCTTCAGTTTGGCCTCAAATTAGTGCTGCAACTCTCCTCCTAAATGTCCCAAATAAAGTTAGCCACTTGATCATCAGTTGATTAGTAAAACTATAAACTGTTTTCAAAAGCTCATTAGTTTTAGTACCATCCTGTGTAATTAAATCTCCTTCTCTTTCATCTTTTTTAGCTGTGCTTCCCTCCTTTCATCCACTCCTCCTCCTTCTCCTCCTCCCTCTGGAGTTTTCCTCTCTTTATCCCTTCATGTTTACCTTTTTTATGCCATTAACCCTTTTCAGACCATCTCATTTCTTCGCACAGTCCTGCCCAGCCTCGTGTGACCAACCTTAGCTTGTGTGTGTCTGTATGTGTCTCATAGGATGCATCGACGTGTTTGTAGAAGTGCTTGCAAGGGTGAGAGGAGAGCCCTCTGTGGGTCATGGCCCCCCTGCCGCCCCCAGCCACAGTGATACAGTAACAAAAGGGGACCCCCCGATAGTCCTTTATGCCCCCTCAGCAAGGTCAGACACAAAGACCTGGCCAGAATGTTCTCAGCCTCGCTCTCCCACAGGAACACACATGTTCTCTGCTGACAAACTACCTAAGTACGATTACATTTTCAGCATGTAAATAGAATTCAAGAGAAAATTTGTATGTGATTTTTGAGCCTCTGCTGTTATCCCAAACATTGGTACGAAACTCTATGTTTAAGAAATGATTTGAAATGAGCACCAACTATTTTATCAGTTCAGCAACAATTTCAGTCATTAAAATGCTAAACGTTTGCTTGTCCCAGTTTCTCAATTGTAAAAATGTGATGTTTTCCTTATCCTATCTAATTGTAGATGAGTCAAGTGTAGTGGACATCAGATACAAGTTTTTCCAGTGACCCATGACTATGCACACTGAGAAATGACCAATGGCTGATACATAATACTGAGATGATGATGATGATGATGTTTTGTTTTTTTTGCATCTGATAAAATCTAACAATTTGATAACATATGAGGCAGAAATTTAAATCTGCATCAGATCTGTATTCTGTCTGCAGTACAAAAATGCAGCAACTAAATTCATAAAAAACGACAAAAAACAAACAAAACCAAAAAAGGTTTGTTGCACTTAACAGCATTTATCAGCAGAAAACAGGATCTCCTACCACTGGTCTGGTGAATATATTGGCTTTGCAGTAAGCAGGTTGTGTCACTTGACATTGCAAAGACACTGTGCTCAACTGCTGTTTGTGGTTGTATCTTAAATCATATGCACTGTGGAAAACAACCCCTTAGCTGTAGTAGCTAGTCAGGCCCCTGGAGCTGGTGCAGTCCGACCTAACGCAGTTCCTGTTGACCGTCCCCCTAATAATCAGCCGTTGCCAAATATTTGCCTCTCGCCCAGCATCAGCTAGAATAGGCTCCAACCCCACTCGACTCTCTTCAGAATAAAGTGGATAAAGCTAATAGATAGATGGATAGATGGCATTTAATTGGCCTGATTAATTGGTTGACTGAATAATCGGTCCATCACTTATCGGTTGGTTTGAATACATCATCCTGGGTTTTGGAAAGTTCCAACTCACAATCAATACCTCTGATACACATTTTATAGTAAAATTATTGGGGAAATAATTTGCAGATTGTTATTTAATAGAAAATGTTCCTTCTTGAATCAGTATATTGATAGATATTTCAGATATGTTTGTGCATTAATCAATTTTTCTTTTTCAATCTTTTTTTTTTCTTTTTTTTTTGTTGCTGTATCACCTGATTATCCATACATCCATTATCTATACACCACTTAATCCCCACTAGGGTCGTGGCAAGATCTTGTATTTTCACTTGGTGTTATATCAGACTTATAAAGTTGCTCCATCACTCAGAACAGGTTCTTTTATAAGAGCCGTAGCCTGTTACACACTCAAGTGTAGTTACTCTAAAGAGGAGTTTACCCCATCCTCCTATGAATAATCATTTTGTTCCATTTAAGCCCTATCAGGCCACTGCCATAACCGTTTAGCTGAAAATGATCCATCACTCCTCCCAGGCTGCATTACATGGCCACAGGTTTAATGACAGCAGCAGCGTACTGGCAGGGTTCATGTTTCGGCCACCGCCTCTCTCTCACTGAGTCGGCACAGACTATCTGACTAGTTTGTGTGTACTCTTGTACATGTCTGTGTCTCAATGTCAAAGCCATTGTTCACGTTCACGGTGGCAAATGTAAAGCGTGTGTGTGTTTATGTGACAGCGTGTTCTGTAGACGGAGAGACGGTACCTGGAATGTCCGTTGGGTCACAGTGAGTGGTGTTGCCGAGGTACTCGTGTTTGTTCTATAAGGCGGTACGCTCCAATGAAGGGCTACACACAAACACCCACTCTTTCACACAGGCCCCCCAACATTGCCGGAAATAGGCCCGACCCTTGCCCCTTCAATGTGCACATATGTACATGTTACAAGGCAGTGAGATGTGTAACGAGGGAGAGAAAGAAGGAAGTGGGCATTGGGGTGTATCCACCATAACGGGACAGAATAAATGGAAGTGAATCAGGTGACAGTGTCATGGTCAATGGAGGAAATGGTTATCTGTGTCTGTTTTGAAGTTGTGGAGATGCGATAAACTTTGTAGAAAGGTCTTGGTAATGTTTGTTAATGCAAAGGAAGCACATCTCATCCTCCTTCTAAATCCAGTGTGCATCCTCCTTTCACTAACAGACCTAACAACGGCCTCAGACGACTACATATTTGTGTGCTATTGCAGATTTGTTTGCATGTGTTTTAAAAGAGCAGAAGCTCTTGAGATGGCAGAAATTTGTCAACTGCCATTGTTAGAACATTTCTATCATGGTAGCTACCGCTTTAATATCTCGTGTTGTATTGGGCCATCATGGGAAATTTAGTAAATGAGGAGGCTGCTTTAAGACAACATTGTTTTTACAGGATTTTCAGAAACATGTTTTTGTTTTTTTATTCACTAGATTCACCAAAAAGAGGAGATTCAGATACTTCATCTGTAAACAGATCCATAATTAAATTCACAGTAAATTTGTTAAGTCACAAGAGATACTAAGACAAAAGTACTAGTTCAATTATAGAAGATATTTTATCCACATTGCTAACCCCTACACTTGATTATATCTTCAATTAGTCACCACTTGCCTTGCTGCCAGGTATTACTGGAAAAACAAAACTAAACAGATCTGTAAAACTGTTGACAGAACACCTGAAACTACAAACATAGTGCATTATTACTCTTTTTTAATGAATTGTTTAATCCATAGAAGGTTTTCAATTTGTAGAATGTTTGCAGCAGAGCCAAAAAAAATAGTTTTTAAGTGTATGACGTCATCCTGGTGTAAGAAACAATGAGAGTATGGGCTAAAGCTGTTCTTGCTTATGCACAAGGCACGTCATTTTTATTCAACTGAATGGACGACGTGTTTAAAGTGTGGTGTTGAGTTCTTAAAATACATCCGTGCTGTAAATACTGAGCTATCATTGTGTAATACTTGTCTGTGTGTATGTCTTTATTTTATTACATGCATTTAAATGTCTGTTTCTTTCTTTTGTCGTTTTTCAGTGTGGTGAAAGTTCTGCTGGAAGCCGGTGCCGACCCGAACGCCGGGGATCACTTTAACAACGTTTACGACACCTCACGGGAGAAAGGCATCCACTCGCTGGAAGGTAAAAAAAAAACAACAAACAAAAGCGGCATCCGTGTGTGCATTCGTCACACATGTTATTACACCCGAAGTGTTGAACCAGATATTACGAGACATTATAATTTGCATAAAAATTTGCATTTATGTACATGCTGGATTCCTAGCATGTTATTTATTTTGTATGTTTTGTGACAAGTAGTGTGTGTTTTATTTGTTTTTCATCTTCGCTGCACAGTCACACGCAAACACACAGGCGTGATGGCACAGGCACGCACACACACGCACATACACACACACTTTACCCCCCACCCTCCAGTCTGTGTTGGGTTTCTGCAGACATATTTATATGGGATATGTATATTGCAGACATTTATATGGCTGTCAGGTTTGGGTCCACGTGGGGCTGGCGTAGCGTGGGGAAGCGTTTCCCAGACGCACACTGATGGATGGGCTAGGGGGGCCTGTGCGACGCTTTATTGGGTTAGCTATGATTATCCCGCCCTGTCTCTCTCTCACACACACAGACACACACACAGACACACACAAATACTGCAGAGAAAGACTGTCAGAGAGATAGCGAAAAAAGAGTGGGATGGATGGATGAAGGAAAAGACTGATGAAGCAAGGAAGTAGGAGAAGAGAGAAGCACTGAAAGGGGAAAAAAAAGAGAATCGAAAGAAGGAGGTTAAAGACGCAGGACGAAGAAGACAATGTGGATGTTTGAGGGGGTGATGGAGAGAGGGAGGGATTGAAGGAAATGGGTGGGATGATGAGGGAGAGGAGAGGAAGTCAGGAAATGGATGAGACAAAGTTATTGGGAAAGAGAGAGTGCGCAGGGAGGAGGGAAGAAGAGGGTGCAAGTGATGAAAGGAATTGATGGACACTGAGGAAGAGAGGAAGGAGGCGGAAAATATAAAAATGGATGATGGAGGAGTGGCACGAGATGAGTGCTCTTATGAAAAAGAAGTAAGGAGAGAATGATAGAGTATCTCCATTATGAGTAAGGAGTGCAGCGAAACAGACCCTAAAACACAACTCGCATTATTCCAATCGTGTCGGACAGTTGAGCTTAAATCTGTGAAAATGAACAACTCTTCCGAAGCTGGAAACAAGAAAGATAATTTTGTGAAAGCAGTGCTGTCGTTGTCTCGCTTTCTGGAGCCTGGACTGTGAATAGATTAAAGAAAGCTCTTCTGGATTTAAACAGCTTCAGTTAAAGTGGTTTGTTAATTCATTTTAATTTTTTTTTCAGCTTTAGAGAGTATACCTCTTCCTTATTCAACTCTATTATTATTCAACTATCCTAATTGGATCTTTGAAGAGTTTCTCATATTCATTTTAAGTCCAAGTCATTAAAAAAAGGCAGTTAATTTGATGTATTGTTTGTTTTTGGGGGGAAAAAAAATCAAACTCAATATTTTGCAGTAATCTCACAAATGAACAATGTTTCCAGCAGGCTTTTTAGATGTTTTTTTTTTCTTTCTTCCTGTTAATCTATGCATGCTCTGCAAAAGAAAATGTAGAATGTTTTTCTAATATTTCTTGTCTCCCCACACCTCTGTTTCTATCCACAGTACTGGTGTCCAGAGAGGATGAATTCAGCAGCAGGCTTAGCAGCAGGGCTGGTTTCAGGGGCTGCACAGCGCTTCACTACGCCACGCTGGCTGATGACCCAGGCACTGTCCGCATGCTGCTGGAGGCCGGTATGTTACTGCTCCCTGTCCTCAAACCCACCACTTGATACACCACCCTGAAGTCCACAATAGATAGATAGATAGATAGATAGATAGATAGATAGATAGATAGATAGATAGATATTAAAGTAGTAAGTTGATGCAGCAGTCTGCACATAGTTCAGATATCTGGTCTGTAGCTTCAGGTATGAATAACATCTACTTCAAATAGTGAAAATCATTAATTGTCAGTGATCAAACACTGTCGACCAATCAGTGTTCCTTTCTTCACTATGTTTCACATTCATTCTATTGAAGTGCTCCTAATAATACACAGAAACGAAAAAGGTGGATAGAGGATTTTTGCACCTCTTGCTTAGATGAATAAAGTCCACCTTTCTTGAGGCTAATCTGCAAAATGCAGCTGTCACTTAAACTCTGTCATTCTCAGCTAAGCAAATCTGACAGACCTCAATTATATTGTCCACTGGAGGGAAAAGTCTCCGTGTTTTAACAGAATGTCTTGATCTGTTGTTAGAATGAGTTTAAGCATTTTGGCCTCAGTTGACAGTTTCTTTGTTTGTTACTTCTGCAAAGGAGATTTGTGTTTCCAGGCATATATATATATATATATATATATATTTTTTTTTTTTTTGGTTACTGGTGTAGTTCACTGATCTTAGTGGAAAGTCAGGCCCAAGGGCGTGGAAGGGCATATACTCATTGTGTCGGTCTAAGAGCCTTTAACCTCTTCATTTGCAAATTTTAACTGTGGGATATAGAAATACATTTAAATCTTCTGGCAGAACCCTTTTCTGCCCCTTCTCTGACACAGTTAATTCAGTCATATCAATCTACTCGAGCCATTATTATTCCTAATATTTTTTAGATAGACACAAGGTTGCATACATTTTTCTATCCTTTTTTACAGGATTAGAATGTTTATGGTAGTTCATAAGAATGAATTACTAATTTTAGGTATGAAATTACAAACTTCAGCCCAGTTCAAGGGCACCAGTTTAATTCGACACATGCCTTAAACCTACTCTGTCATGTTAAAGCTACATTAAGCTCATCCTGCAACTATTGTCTCCATCAGTTTTAAAAAGCTCTCCATGTATAATCACCTGAACGCCTCCACCAATAATTATTATAAGCAGTATTACAAAACTCATTTGAAATTGATTACTGGTTCATTCTCCCTGGCTCCCCATTACACTCGCACCTGTCATTGACTCGGCTCCACCAACACACACACACATAAAAACCCCGAGGGCAGAGTATCCCCCTCAGTTTTCAGACGAGCAGCTCTTAAACAAGCTAGGCCTCGTTGAACTGTGACCTCCGCACAGAACATGCCCTTGGGGTATCTCCACAACCACAGGAAGTGTGTGTCTTTGTGTGTGAGCTTATACAGTGGGTATGGAAAGTATTCAGACCCCCTTAAATTTTCCACTCTTTGTTGTATTGCAGCCATTTGCTAAAATCATTTAAGTGATTTTTTCCCCCTAATTAATGTACACACAGTACCCCATAGTGACAGAAAAACACAGAATTGTAGACATTTTTGCAGATTTATTAAAAAAGAAAAACTGTCACAAAGTTGTTCTGAAGCCACTCTGTTATTTTAGCTGTGTGCTTAGGGTCATTGTCTTGTTGGAAGGTGAACCTTCGACTCAGTCTGAGGTCCTGAGCACAAGGTTTTTGTTCAGGATATCTCTGCACTTGGCTGCATTCATCTTTCCTTTAATTGCAACCAGTCGTCTTGTCCCTGCAGCTGAAAAACACCTCCACAGAATGATGCTGCCACTACCATGCTTCACTGTTGGGATGGTACTGGGCAGGTGATGAGTAGTCCCTGGTTTTCTCCACACATAACGCTTAGAATCAAGGCCAAAAAGTTCTGTCTTGGTCTCATCAGACCAGAGAATCTTATTTCTCATAGTCTGGGAGTCCTTGATGTGTTTTTTGGGCTTTCATGTGTCTTGCACTGAGGAGAGGCTTACATTGGGCCACTCTGCCACAAAGCCCCAACTAGTGGAGGGCTGCAGTGATGGTTGACTGTCTAGACCTTTCTCCCATCTCCCCACTGCATCTTTGGAGCTCAGCCACAGTGATCTCTGGGCTCTTCTTTACCTCTTTCACCAAGGCTTTTCTTCCCCGATTGCTCAGTATGGCTGGACGACCAGCTCTAGGAAGAGTTCTGGTCGTCCCAAACATCTTGCATTTAAGGATTATGGAGGCCACTGTGCTCTTAGGAAACTTAAGTGCAGCAGAAATTCTTTTGTAACCTTGGCCAGATTTGTGTCTTGCCACAATTCTGTCTCTGAGCTCTTCGGGTAGTTCCTTCAACCTCGTGATTCTCATTTGCTCTGACATGCACTGTGAGCTGTAAGGTCTTACAGGTGTGTGCCTTTCCTAATCACGTCCAATCAATATAATTCAACACAGCTGGACACCAATGAAGGTGTAGAACCATCTCAAGGATGATCCAAAAAAAAAGAAAAAGGCATCACCTAAGTTAAATATACGAGTATCACAGCAAAGGGTCTGAATACTTATGGCCATGTGATATTTCACTGTTTCTTTTTTAATAAATCTGCAAAAATGTCTACAATTCTCTGTTTTCCTGTCAATATGGGGTGCTGTATGTACATTAATGAGGAAAAAATGAACTTAAAGGATTTTAGCAAATGCAAATATAGCAAATTGAAAAAATGTAGGGGGTCTGAATGCTTTCCTACTGTATATGTGTGAGCTTGTGCACTCAAGGACAAAATATTCATAAATCCATGTTTGCTTTTATCCCCCTTATTGTTTCAGTTCGTGCACACCCTTTTTTGATCTTGTGGGGAAATTTGTAGTTTCTGCTTTTTATCCCGATTAGGTTTTTAATCTAAAAACACTGAAAAAACACCCCAGCCGCCACCACCACTATCGCTATACGCACACTCAGATGCACACACAAGTTTGTATTAATGTCTTGTTTATGTTTATGATGGATGATGCATCCAAAGCTCTGTCTGCCTGTCTCTCCCGTCTCACCCCTACGTCTGTAAGCACTCTGTACGCTTAAACAAATCACCTCATCTAACTCGATCAAATGTTCTGCAGACGCATTTTTGAATTAAAAAGGTAAGAAATTTCACGAAGCAGAGACATTTGTTTTAAGACAATCAGATTAAAGACAGGGTTGGTTGTTGCCTGCCCGACTGGGCCTTTTCTGCGTTGGCGCCGCCATCACGGTCAATAACAGTCACGACATGGCACACTCTCAATCACACACACCGCCATCCATGCGCATGTGTGATCTGTTTAAATGGACGCATAATTAGAGACTTTTATAAAACTTTTATTGCGCGGTTCATTACTCTTGACAAAGCCTCTGTCCTGTGTCTCTTTCTTTAATCCACTTCTTCTCAGTAGCCTCCTATCCGTCTTTTTTTACATCACCACAGAAAAATCTTATAACCTGCCACAGCTTCAGGACATCTGTGTGGATTTGGGTGTGTGTATCCTCTCGTGCTTCATGTATGTACACACTGCATGTGTTTACAGAGTAGTGTCTATCCTGTGTGTCCTTGTTATTTCCCCTGTGTTTGTTTGCATCCATGTTGCTCCACTAGCCGTGGGTTTGCTCTTTTGGCCTTAGCCGGCCCTCGACTCACATCTCCATCCATCACAGTCTCCCGACTCACCCTCAGGCTTCGCTTCGCCCCACAGTCCCTCAGCCTACCTGCGGAGGCTCTCTAGCTTCTCCCCAGGCTCCGCATCAGGCCCGTGGCCAGGGGCGCTGAGTAATGGACAGCTCCGTAGGTGGTAGGAGGCCAGAAGAGACACACATGCTCACAGACGCACACAATACAGATACAAGGACACACACGCATGCACAAAGACCAGCAGGGGCTCTCTCCCACCAGCTGCAGTGAAAGAGAGGGAGGAGGAAATAGGAAAGAGGAGGGGACTCCTAATAGGCATAACTAAAGCACTCCTAATGAAGGGATCCTGTGTGAGCGTGAATGTGTGTGTGTGTGTGTGTGTGTGTGTGCGCGTGTGCGCGCAGCTGGGGTATGTGTGTGTGTGTGTGTCTGTCTGTTTGTGTGACTGTCGTTAGTGTTGATCCTGTTATAAAGTGCTATGGCCCAGAGGGTTGGCCTGATATTAAAGCCCTAAATGATGCTATTTATTATGTCCAGTGTCTGTGTGTGTGTGTTTGTGTGTTGGTGGGGTACTTTATTGCTTTCCTCCCTCATGTTTTTGGTGGTCGAGGAGGGGAGGGGCTAGTGGTGTATTGTTGTCAGGATCGATAGCTTTGTGAGCTGGTCACAAATTTAGGGGTTTATCGATAATCATCACAGCGATTATTAGTCTCTGTGGTCGGTGCTCTGAGCAGTAGGAACAACCATCACCTGTATTGATTACAAACTGTTTTTTTTTTTTTTCTGAGGAGAAACTTCAAATGAGTGTTCTGCTTCTTAGTGTCCCATTCAACATCCTGTACATACAGTACAAATGACTCTAATGTACTTGGGTGCACCTTTTTCCAGTACTCTAAAAATATCCCAAACTGGCCAGCTAAGCTCATCACATAGAGCGTAAAATCAGAGTATACTGTCAAAGAGTATTGTCACACTTTGTCAGTGATTTACTTTAATAATCTTATATTCTTGTAACAGAGAGATTTCCATGTGTTTTCGTGCCGACTTATCATTAAAGTGACACATTTCTTGTCACTCCAACGAGTTTGCACAGTTTTTCCTACTTTTCCTGTCATGATTGTCAGTCTTGCTTTAAATTGCATTTAAGCCTGAGGCTATATTGCTGGAGATTGTTAAATTGTGTGACTCATCAAAGAACCCACGTAGATCTCTGTTGGTGCCAGTAAGTAAATCCAAAGTGTTCCACATATGAGAACAGTTTTGTATTGTGTTCATCAGTGCTTAAAGAAGTTGTCACCTTTTACTGTGTGATTTCAGAGCATAAAGCTCAAGCGTTTGTTTCCTGTACTGGTAAATAAATGTTCTCGGTGGGTATTGATTGAAACATTTTTTACTAGTGCTGACACAGCTCCTGAGTTTTGATATTGTACTTTTTGCTAGACCATACTCTAAGGATTATGAACATGTTTTTATGCAAAACTTTTTTTTTCAAATTTAAGTCCAAACATTGAAAATGTTTGCTTAAATAAACAAGTATAAAACAGGTAACATTTTCCTGTAAGAGCAGAAACTGGTGCCTCAAAATGTTGTGCCCTGAACATGTTGAATGTGCACACTACTTTCTGCTCACAATCCTACAATACTCTGTGCCACATTTTATTTATGATGATGCAAAATTATGGTGAGTAAAGTGTCCGAAATATCAAATCACTGTTCACTCTGAGCGTCTAGTTTAAATGGACGCATAATATGAGCAGTGGATGAGTGAACACCGAGGGTGATTTCAGACAGAGTCAAGGGCTGTGAACTGAAACATGTTGGTATCATCAATGAAATTTTAAAGTCTTTTTATTATGTTCAGGAAAGGGGGTGCCTGGATCAGAGTAACTTCTGGGTTACAGTGATTTTAGTGTAGACTCTGAGATGCTCTGAGTTGGGTGTTGCTTTTTAAATACTTAATGTTTGTAAAATATTGATGCACTTGTTCTTTTTTGTTTATTTTTTTATTTTTATTTTTTTTAGACGAAACTGCATTACATAAGAGTTTTTGGACTGATGGACTGATTGTGGTTGCTAAAAGATTAGGTGAGGTTTTATACAAAGTTATACTCACGTGCTGGTCATTGAGAACCTACCGTGGACCCAAGCTACACATTTTAATGTGTAGGTAGTAAAGCAGCAACAATTAATCAATTAGTTGTCAACTATTAAATTAATCACAAACTGTTTTTGATAAACAATTGACCAGTTTGACTAATTATTTATGAAAACAGGCTAAATTCTCTGATTCTAGCTTCTTAAACGTGAATATTTTCAGGTTTATTTGCACTTCTACAGCAGTAGACTGAATATCTTTAGGCTCTGGATAAAACAAGACATTTAAGGGCATAATCATGGGCTGGGAAAGGCGAACATTTTTCACAATTTTCTAGCATTTTATAGACCAAACAGCATATTGAATTATCAAGAAAATTATCAATGGATTGCTCAACAGTGAAAATGAAGAGTTTTCACTCCTCGTATATAGAATGATGGCTAGCACTTTGCTACAGTAGCTAATTTATCAACTACTTCATTTATTTGTCTGGCGTGCAGCCGATGTAGTGGTAATACTCACTTGTTCGCGTGGAGGCACGTGTGTGTTGGCGACTCTGGGTTGTGGTAGCACAGGTCAGGGCAGAAGGCACTGCTAACCACTCCGACTGACAAGCCCACCACTGTCCAGCCCTGGCACACTCCACCCATGCTGTGACGTTATTCTTTTTCCTCATTTATACTGCGACCCCTTAAAGATAGTCGGTTTAACAAAAATGTTCCTCCGTTTGACCCGTCCTGCTGTGTGGAGGTGTGTGTTTGTCCGCCTCAGTGGCCCCCAATCTGCAACAACAGCCTGCAGTGTGTATGGATTGTATAATAGTCCAGGGTGTTGGTGTGCGGGTTTAGGGGTCAGAGTGTGTGTTATTGGCACACGTTGCAGATATGAAACCCCCTACAGGGTCATTGCATGGTCCTCCTGCTTCACTGCAGTTAGCCCCAGTGACCCCTGAACCCATGTGACCTCTCACACCTAACCTTGCTTTCTCGATTGACGTTTTGACCCTCCTGCTGAGAAAGTGTGGGCATATTCTTGTATCGCTTGCAACTGAAACAACGAGAACATGGTTGTAACTATCAACCACACTGTGTTTTTTGCTATTGTATAAACTGTACATTTGTGTGTGTGCTTTTGTACAGGTGCCAACCCCCTGCAGACCAATGGTTTGGGACACACAGCTCGGGCCTACGCTAAGGAGGGAGAAGTGGGCACAGTACTGCAGGAGTGGGAGGGAAAGGTATGAAACACTCTTTACATTCACACACACACACAAAGATTCACTTGGTTCTGCTTCCATACAAGCTGTGCAGATTATATATGCAATCAAAACAACATTAGTTTCCATGCTTACAAACATTGTGATTCTGTAGCTGTATCCTTTGGCCTGCTCTGAATGACTCGGCACCATTCACTCAGCAGACATATGTGTTGTTCACTTGGCGTCATGCACACAGGGACAAACTCTTCAGGAGGTCTGTGTCAGACTGTGCACTGACTGACAGGTGCTATTGAGTATTATAGTAGTGAAAGCTTGTGAAGGTTAACTGGGGTTAAAAACATGAGCTGAAGAACAGAGCTTGGTTATTGATCAGTATGTATCATGACACAATCTGAAACTTTTGTATGCCATGATTGTGCTTTTTCCATTGAGGTGCAGGACTTCATATTGCAATTTTAAAATGAACTAACACTTGAGTAATGTGAAAGGAGTAAAAAATGTAGAGAAACTAGTTGAAGTTCAGAGAGTTAAGGTGGAAGTTTGTTATTAACACTAAAAACAAAGGTCATCAGAAACAGACAGCACTGATTTTAAATCATTTGTAAATTTATGGACGTTTCAAGATTCAAAAAAGCAGCTGCTATCAATGCTGTTGATTTCTAATGTGTACATTTCTTTCAGAACTACAGTCAAATACGTTAACCTTCTAAAATGTTAAATGCAGTATTGTATTTCCATGGTGACCCTGAAAAGGACATCTGTAGAGGATTTTTTTCTATCAGTGACGTCTGCTTTACAGGAACTTCTCTTCAGAGATGGTGACAGTGATAGCCCTTATCTGTTTCTAAGTAAACTATAGAGCTTTTATTTTTCACATTGTAGAAGTGTGAAATAATGTGGCTCATTTATGTGTTCTTAATAGTTTTCGGACAACAGTAGTACCCTTTGGCGCAGGAGAATAAGCTAAATCAGACTTTGGATACACAGACAATAATTGTTAGTATACGTAATTCATAAAAGTGTTTGTGTTTTCATTGGATTTTGTCAATGGTAAGAAAAATATTTTTTAAAAATCACCCAAATTTTTCTTAAGAATGAACGTCCGTTTGGTGACATGAGCCAAAATTCTTTCTCCTATTGCAAAAAAGCTTTCCTATTAACACTGTGACAGAATTTTTAAAAAGAAGTAAAGGCCCTACTTTCTGAAATATGTTATTTTTTTCTCGTAAAAAAATCTGATTTAATATTGGACAAGTTGGTGGAGAGGACAGTCTTGAGCTTTCACGTGTTTGAGACTGAAACAAAGCTCAAGCACACTGCCCTCAGTGCTCAGCTCTTGGTATTTCACAGGTGTGTAGTGGTAGAAGTGGGGTCTGCCTTTTTCTTAAATAAAACTCGAGTTATCCGTAGTTATCTACTGGCTTGACAGCAGGCTGGAGCTAAGCAAGATGGAGAGAGAGAATAAACAGGCTGCCTCCACTGCAGGGTGAAAACCTGGAGTCTAAGGAGACAAAGAGGGGAGGATAAATGAGTCATGGGGAGGCTGTGAGGAAGAAAGGAAGAAGCACTGAGGGGAGAGTGAAGAACGTCGAGAGAACAGACATGGGCAGAGAAAGAAAGAAGAGAGGTGGAAAGAGAGGAGGAGAAGCAAAATCAGCAGACGAGAAAAAAATGGATGCAACGACAAACAGAGATAGAGAATGATAGAGAGGAGAAAGACAGGAGTCAGGTAGCTGTTGCGTAGAGGAGAAGACATTTGTTGTGGCAGAAAAATGTTGAACAAAGGGAGTTATGGGAGTAGCAGAGAGGTTTTAATGAAAATGAAAAATACTTTATTTATCCCAGAAGGGAAATTCAATAAGGTAAATAATAATAATAATAATAATTATTATTATATTAATAATTAAAGTAATAATTAAGATCATATAGATAAGCATTCTAAATGCTTTATTCTACCATTTTGACAATTAATCTGAAATTGAATAAACATATATTAATCAGCAAGATTTGTTTACAAATCGTCATCATTGATGTCCATTACTTAGCGTTCAGGCATAAAGCTCCTTTACAGTATAGCTGTAACAATTCATTCATTGCGGACAAAACAAGACATTTGAAGACGTCACTTTTGGCTTAAAAAAAACAATGACCGTCATTTTTTATTTTTATTTCTATTTTTTACCATTTCTGACATTTTAATAACCAAACAACTTATCGATTAATCAAATAAGTGGCAGAATAATCGACAACTCTTTGTTTAATGGTCAGTTGACTGAATAGCTATGATTTGGTCATGAAAATGCTTGACAAGAGTCACTTTAGTAAAACACAGCTCAAGTCACTCTCATAGCTTGTTCTCCTAAGCATCTGTCTAAATAAAGGCAAGCAAAAATACATTCAGACATACAGACACTTCAATCAGATAAGGAATACGCCGACAAACAAAATCCTTCCACCCAGAAACTAGTGAGAAACTGTGCCACAGTTATGCCTTATGCAAGATTCTGATTTAGAGGTGTTCGGTCATAATCCTACTTGTAGCTTTGCACCAAGTACATAAACTAGAATAGTATACAGCAACACTACTATTACAGCAATATATCATCAGGAGGGTTAATCTAACCTGTTCAGGAGCTTGTTTGCTGCTAACTCTTTCTCTGCTTCGGTTGGGGATGAGTTGTGGAGTTGATACTGGCTGTAGAGAAGAAAAGGTGATGATAAAGAGAGGGATGAGGAGTCTTACATGTCCTCCTGTGAGACTTTACTTGAGAGGTTTTTATACAGTTCCCCTTCTTCCCTCCATCTAGTTCCAGGAGGCACAGGCTCGGCGGGAGGCAGAGGAAAGAAGGAGGTTTCCCCTGGAGAGGAGGCTGAAGGAGCACATCATCGGACAGGAGGGTGCCATCAATACTGTGGCTTCAGGTAAACACACACAAACATTATATATATATATATAGCTTAGCAGATGCAGCACAAAATAAAAGTGTACATAAATACATGTTTTTCCACCACAGCTTTATCCTCCTCTGTTTCGTTTCATTTCTTTATTTTCAACATATTTTCTGTTCTGTGCTGCCCTCCTTCCTTCCTTCCTTCCTTCCTCCTGCTCTCCTCCCTTCCCTCCAGCAGTGGGCGGGTTCAGACAGACTAGCGGAGGCTGTAATTGGTTAATTGTGATGAATGAGCTGTCTGTCAGGCGTACACAGGTGCCGTGTGCATGTGCGTATGTTTGTGTGTGACAGCTGAAGAGGCCAGGCTTGGAGCCGCCAGTTAACACGATTACAGAGAGAGGAGACATACTACAGACCCCCCTCCCTTCCCCTCCTCCTCTGTTCTCTCCATCTTTCTGCTTTCCCCCTTCTGTCTTTCTCCCTTTTGGCTTTCTATCCTCCGTTTCTCCTCCGTCTCAATCTCTCTACCACCTTGATCTCCATCTCAGCCACTTTCTCCTTCACCCTCATGTCCTTTCCTACTTGCTCTTTGTGACCTTCGTGCACATCCTGAATCTTTCCATCACTGTTCCGTCAAGCTGCGGTGTCACAGAGTCGGGGATGGACAAGTGGAAGATAAAGGGATGTAAATGGAAGGGGAAAAACAAATGGACGCGATGGAAGACTGGATTAAAAGATTAAAAAAATAAAAGATACAGGAATGCTGATGGAAGAAGGTGGTAAAGAAGTAGCTGAGAGGCAGAAAGCTCTGAGCATTGACAGAAAGACAAAGAGAGCAAGTGTAGTGCATAGAGAAGAGGAGGGAGGATGAGTTAGAGCACAATAACACAGCAGACAGTAAAGAGCTGATATTACACCAGGCATCCATGGAGGCCATGTATTGATCTGCAGATGAGAGACTGAGAGTTTGTGGGTTCAGAAAAGGTTCTGGAGCAGGGAGAGAGGCTATGCGTTATTTTTACGACGGTGGACATTTTCGGTTTAGATTTGTGAAAATAATTAACTCAAAGCTGGAAACGGATATTACAATCTGTAATGTGCTAGTGAGGGCAAATACTGCAGAGTTTATAACCAACAGGAGAATAACTTCCACTCAAGACCTCAGTAAGTCAAATCCTGCATAAAGAATAACAACATAGAACTACAAACTACACAGCTGTCTGTTAAAGAAAACACATTTATGTATATTTGAGCTGAAGTTACAAGTACTAGTGTTGAAAAGTAAAGCAGGAGTCTTAGAGGGAGAGGATAATCGTGGGACTTGTAGTCTTTGCCAAGGCGATGAATGACAAATTATTCTGAAAGCCGTACAAGACATCAGCACAGAGATAAAGGAACAGCTTATTGATCTCCGAGAAGTATTACAGTGAATATATCACACACACACACAAGTGTGATGATAGAACTATGAGAAGCTTCAGGAGACAGACAGAATTAATCTACAAAGGTATTTACCAGAGCCCACATTATCTAATGTTCTTTTATACTTACACTGTGTGCCTTTTTTTATCAAAGGTGAGCCAAGCAGGAATCAGTTGAACTTTAGCTAATAGGGGAAGCAGAGATTTAGAGATGAGGAGATGGATCAGGAAAGAGAGAAGGGGATATACAGCAGATAAGGAGACAAATGAGAAAAGGATGTAGAGATAAAGAGAGAAAGCTACAGAGGACTGGATTATGTAACTGCAAATGCAAGCTGCATACAACAGCATATTTTCATGCTTCTCTTTTCTCAGTGTATTTAAAATACTATCAGAAAGAGACGATTCCATTAAGAAAATCCTTTAAAAAAAACTTTCCAGTTTACAGTGATCAAAATCTAAGAAAAAAGCAAAAACAGCAAAATAAAAAAATCAAGAAATAGCAAGTGTTTGGGATTTTTCTTGTTAAATTACTTAAACATTAGTAGTTTAACCAAGTTGTGAACAGTTTTATTGATGAACTTATCGTTTCAGTCATAGTTATTTATTTTACTGTAACATGTCAGTGCCAAAATGAGAACAGCTGAGGAAACGGATGGATGAACTGCTTGTTTTGGTTTTTTAAAAAAAAATGCACACAACTACAAAATGTTTCCCGTGTTTTTCATTTTTTTGCATTGGCGTTTGTCTTCAAAACAACTGTTTCCACCTGAACTCTTCAAGACGAACAGCTGGCCTCCAGCAAGACACACACTCACACACAAAGTACAAATACACAAACCCACGTACGCAGAAACACACACACACACACACACAGGAAGGAGGTTAGATTGATCCAGGTTTAGCTCTCAGGGCTAAGAGTTATTGAAGAGAATCATCCCTCTGTAATCGTGTTAGAGCCAACCAGACCTGCCCAATACACACTGCTCTAAGTGTGTGTGTGCGCGCATGTGAGAGGGAGAGCGAGAGCGAGCTTTCATTTGTTTTGTGTCTCCTTCCTTTCCTTGTTGTTGTCAGGGTCCTCTGAGAAATGTCAATGTGCCCTTCTGTCAAAGTCGGTCTCAATCAGCTAAAACACGCACAAACACACAGAAGGTTACGCTGTCATTCACACAGCCATTGATAAAGCAGACGGAGCTTTGGAGCCCCTCTTGTCACTATTCATCTCTGCGTCCATCTCTGACACACTCGTTTGTCTCTCTACCTCATTCTCTGTCTCCTTATCTCCATCACTCCTCTCTCTTTCCCCTCTTTATCCCCCTCTACATCTTTACTCCTCTTTCCTCTCCTTATCTGTGTTCCTCCCTCTGCTTCATCTTTCTGCCTCCCTCGTTCTGCCTCTCCTTCTCCTCTCCTGCCAAGCATCTGCTCTTTATGATTATCAGCTATTAGTAGCTAGTTTAACACTTCGATGTCATGTCTGTCGTTTAGTATTTTAGCTTCACTGCGTTCGTAGCCACAGCAGATTACCGTGAGTGAGCAGGAAGGGACTCGTCATCTTGGTAGAAGATGCTTTGACGCGACACACTTTGGCTTTTGGAGAAAACGTGCAAGTTTGGGTTCTTTTTGCAATTTAGCCACAGCGTTCTCCTGCCACTTGTCCTTTACTGGCTGCGCTAGATAACTTGCCAAGAAATTGACACCTCTGAGTGACTGCATTGTTTAAGCTTGTTATCTTGAACTGTGTTGCTAACTGGGTGTTTAGAAAGTTTTGGCTCTGTGTTTAAAAGCAATGCCAAGTTGACAAGAAATCATGGCGCGTGTGTCCAGTCAGGAAACTAACGAATGCGACTTAAATCTTTCAGCCTGCTACACCTTAAGCAGGGTTTTTAGATCAAGGCTTTTACAAGGTTGATGGAAAGGACCTGGAGCAGCTTTAGTTCACAGACTAAGGTTGTGCTCTGAACTGCATACTTTGCTTTTTTTTTACCTTCCATACATACTGCAGCTTCCCTTATAAAGTACATAGTATGCACACAATTAGGACATACTAATTGATAAAAATATTGTGCTTTCTTCATATATACCATGCAATCTGCAGTGCAAGAAGAGCTGTCATCTGTCTGTACGCTTTCGGCTGCATAAGCTTGTTTTTTACTCGCATTAGACACCATGACATATGTGATGTAACTGCACAAAGGATTGTGGGTCAGAATGGCCAGACAAGCATGCTGACTTGCATACTGCACAATCCAACTAGATTTAGACGAACATGCTTGTATTTTTTGCATACTACATTTGATATACTATGTATTGGGACATGCTAAATAGTATGGTAGTATCAATACTGGAATGTAACCTGAGTTTCATATGGAAGGCAAAGATAGAGCTGTTGTATCAGCCATCGTGTGGTTCCTTCAGACTCAGAAACATTCGCCTCAGTGGCTATTTTTCACATACTCAACACAGAAATGTGTAATTCAAGTAGAAAACACATACATAAAGAAATTCATACATTTGTATGTTTTTGTTTTTGTTTGATTATTTTCTACTTATCATTACTCTACATAAAAGCCACATTTATTTTTCAAAGGATACAATGGCTCATCATTTCTTCCAGTGTCACCTGTATTGGGAGAGCTTGAGGTTCAGCCTAGTGAAGGGATCTGTGGCCATATTTATCAAGACTGTAAAGCTAACTTGCCTGAATGAAACAGTCAGTTATATATTTTAATTAACTAAACCCACTTTTCAGTCCCAGGCTTCTACAGTATAAATGACTGTAGAAGCAAACACAGAAACAGACACAGAGAACATACTACACCGAAAAACCCCAGCTGGCCTGCAGCTGCGAACCTGCACCTTTTTGCTCAAAGCAGCTACACTAACCCCTGATTCACTTTACCACCGACTTGCTGTGGTGCTGTTGGCAAAACCCGGTCTACCTATGGCTCTGCTTTTCCCCCTCAGTCTCTCAACAGGTTTGGATTTGGATGAGTTTGTGCTAGTGTCTGCTTCTTCGCCGAGCAGCTGAAACCACGGCCAAATACACTCTTTACTCCCCTCCGATCCACCTCATCATCTTGTCTTTGTGTATGTGTGTGAGTGTGGTTGCTGGGGTGATGGCAGGGTTGGGTAGGCACTCCTCTTTAAGCAAGCGTGTGTGTCTGTGTGTGTGTGAGGCTGCGATCTATGCTAAACTGATTTCACCATGGCCGCGCCAGAGAGGCTAACACAATTACTGCTGGCTAATGGCCCCACTGACTGAGGGGGGGAGGAGAGGCAACGTGGGTAGCTTTCTGGAGGTCTCTCATCTTGCTCTCTTGCTCTGTTTTCTCTCTTCTTCCTCCTTTTTTTTCCACCAAATGTCTCTGACCCTTTTCTCATCCCTGCTCTCTCGGTCTTTTATCATAGTTTCTGGGATACCCACCGCCCTCAGGTCAGCTCGGTTCAGTTGGGTGAAACTTTGAATACTTAGTGGAAAAGCAAAGTCAACAAATGCAAATGACTGAAATAATGGCCTCCCTTTCTTTCTCTCCCCGTCTCCGCCCTGTGTAGCCATCAGGAGGAAGGAGAACGGCTGGTACGATGAAGAGCATCCTCTCGTGTTCCTCTTCCTTGGCTCATCAGGAATCGGTAAATCACTCGCTCTCTCTTCTCTCACACAAAACACTTGAATTCTGGTTTGATCTCATGAACTGAAACCTCCAGCGTCCTCACAGTAGCAGCCAAAATAAACAGAACACTTGAATAAGTTGCGTTTCTGAAGATTGTTGATGCATGTGGAGTGCACTGTGTTCTCCTCCTGCCAAACAAATGAATTCACATGACAAAGAAACAGAACACACAAGAAGACAAAGGCACGCGCCACATTGTAAAATGTAAACATAAACTGGAAAAAAAAATAGTAGTCAATGTCTGCAAGGTGTTACTTTATACTTTGCCAAGTTAAAGAAGCACAGAAAAGAATTTAAACCTGTATTTTCTTTTTTGTTTTTTTGTTTTTTTGTTGTTGTTTTTTTTAAAAATAAGCCTGTTAATGAATTGCAAAAAATTAGGTTTTAATTTAAACAAATAAAAGAAGAGCTGTGTTTAATTAACAAATAACTGTGGCAGTTTTTTAGGTGTTCTGATTCAGTGGTTCGATGCATTGTTATGAACAGTTAATATAAATGTGTTAGATGACTCCTTCTCATACGGTGATACAGATTGGCAGTGTCACTAAATGTAGTCCTGCCCACAAAGGCCCAGCAGAGCAGGTTATATCTCAGTTTCCCTCAGGGGACAGTAAAATTTATCAATCTCCAACTGCGGAAACAGATTCAGCAGAGCGGCTCCAGACTTTTCTGAATCACTGTCAAAGTTTGTTATGTGACCTCAGATTTTGAGGTCTGGAAAAGGGTTAGCTGTGGTGAGTTAGCAGATCTGGTACTAATAATGTGGACCATCACAGTCACTGTACTCCACACACAGAATTTGTAAAGGATAAAAACAGCATGTTAAAGTCTTTTACATTTTATGAGCAAAACTAAAAGCAAATTCCCATAAATATTTCTTTAGAATTGGGACGTCACAATGTGTTCAATTGATTAGTATTGATGGTATAAAGCACCATCCGCTGCCAGTCTTTTGTTTACTGCAACCCATTGAGCTCTGTGTGCACCTGCTGTCAGAAGAACAGCTGACTGCACATTAAAACAGTCCTAACATACTATTGTGGGTGAAAAAAAAATCAACAACAGCCAGCTGTTGCAAAAATGATGATATCCACTGGGGATGCTTGAGATGAACTGAGACTGCATGTCTGGACCTTTGTCCTGCCACTGATGCACACTGTGACTCAATTGTCCATGAATATCACAAAAATATGTTCTATATGAGAAACATTAAAGGCGACGATTAAATGAAAGCTGTGAAACTGTGTATTTTTAATACAAGTATCAAAAGGGAATTGGCTTTACTACATATAATTGAGAATTACCTTAAAGCAAAGTGTGCACTGTTAAAGTGTGTGGAGGAAAACATAAAGCACATTGTCAGTAGATCCTGACTGGGTTTTTGTGGCCTGTGCTGATATTTGGGAAGAAATTCTGATATTGATATATCTACTGGCTCTATTAAAGAAAGCGTTCATGTTGTGGAAAACACATATTGCTACACCAACATAGCTGTGATAGGCAAATATGTGATAGGCCCATAATCGGAGCTCTAATTGTCAGTTTTAAAGAACACAACGTGACTGGGACATTTCTAGTTTAGAGAAAAGCTTAAATCACCTCGACCACCAGCAAGATGAAGTGTAGGCGTATGTATGTGTGCGTTAGTGTGGTGGCAGCAGCAGGGGGAGAGAGAGATATTAAGGGCCAAATAGATGGCTAAAAAAGAGGGAGATGGTGAAATGACAGGCCAGAGAGATAGATGAGGGAGAGACGGTGTTCATATTCTCTATTCCCTTCAGCGACAAACAGTGGCCATGAGACATCAATATTAAACACAGCAACAAGACACAAGCACACACAGCCTCTTTCACACACACACACACACACACACACACACACACACACAACCGTCATACCCATATGCATACCAAACACAAGACATCAATATCATATATGAGCATTTATATGCAGAATATTTTACCGACAAACATAATGTGTGCTTCTGGAGAGCTGGAGATGATTGAAAGCTTTGTAGAGGGAGGCACTGGGATTTAGGCCAGCACTTAGCGAAGGAGAGAGATTGTCTTTCTGTCTGAAATGAGTAAGCTTGTTTTCTTGAATTCCTGAAATCTCTGCATGCTGATGTTCTCCACAAAGACAGGGTTTGGTTTTTTTATATTAAAAAAAAAAAAAAAAAAAGTAATTAAATGCACAAAAGGTTGTTCCTGTTACATAATGAGCAATTAAATGACGTCTCTGTTTTGTCTGGTCGATCACAGGAAAGACAGAGTTGGCCAAACAGGTGGCTCGCTACATGCACAAGGACATTAAAAAGGTAGGTGATGTAGCATCTTACTGTTCAAGCAGCAGATGGAAGATAGGTCTTTATATAAAAAAAAAAGCACATGTAAGACATTTAACTTAGGGGATGACAGACAAGAGTTTCACCTGTTCAACTGTTCGAGTGTTACAAAATACACACTGATACAATGAATGCAGTGTGTTGCACCTCTTGTGGAGATTAACCCATCGTGTGATTGCAGGGTTTCATCCGGATGGACATGTCTGAGTTCCAGGAAAAACATGAGGTAAGGTCTTGTGTGCTCGTTCTACATACATTCATGTGAATTTAGGGTGTATTTAATTGCTTATAATGAATGACGCATTCTGTGTTGTTCTACAGAAGCTAATTTCAGATGAGAGCAGTCTCTGCTGTATAATGCATGGCAATGATGCATTGGATTAATTCTGTTTATGTACTCATAATGGATGCATAAACCAAAATTAATGCTGTTTGAGGCCTGTATTCACCTCTTTGTGAAACTTTTGTGATAAATGCATTTAATTAGTGATTCAGAGCTGCGAGAGTTAGAGAACCACCCACATCTAATCGTTTCACTTCAGTGTTCACATTCAGTGCTTCTGCATAGATCGTCGTGACAGAAGGTGTTATAGGTTAGGGGCATGTTTATGACTTTGTAACGGTCTTAGTAGGTGTGCTGTCTGACAGAAGTCACAAGTTTTGATAGTTGTTTTTGGAGGTCACACTGGAAGTGGTGTGAAAGGCTGGTCATAAGGAGGGGTAAACGTGATAGCGTTTAAAAATGATTATAATCAGATAATGTTTCCAGTGTTACATTCAGCTGTCGGATTAATAGTAACACCTCAGCACAGACAAACAATCACAGCAGGTTGTTGGTTGTAAAAGTTCAGAGATGGTTTGACATACCTCCTTATCTGGCGTCAGAAAGGCTTTGCAAGGTAGCTGTCAAACAAGCAGATGGAGGAAAAAGCCAGCTTCAGTGTGATGTTCACAAAACATGTTTGATATTGTTATATACTGTCTTGTGATATTTTTTCCCACCAACCATCACCTCTCTCTGGTCTCTCAGGTTGCAAAGTTCATCGGCTCCCCACCAGGATATGTGGGACATGAGGAAGGGGGTCAGCTGACCAAGCTGTTGAGGGCATGTCCCAACGCTGTGGTCCTGTTTGATGAAGTGGATAAAGCCCACCCTGATGTTCTCACCATCATGCTGCAGCTCTTTGATGAAGTGTGTACAGAAAACACGTTGAGTACATTCTTCCTGTTTGTAAATGTCAGTTCAATACACTGACTTCTCTTTCATTCATGTCACTCCGCTCTCAGGGTCGTCTTACAGACGGCAAGGGGAAAACAATTGAATGCAAAGATGCCATCTTCATCATGACGTCAAACGTTGCAAGTGATGAGATTGCCCAGCATGCACTGCAGCTCCGCCAGGAAGCTGAGGAGGTCAGCCGCAGAAAACTGGCCGACAATCTTGGTAAGACAAACACAAAAACATACACAGTGATGTACAGACGTACTGTATTTGCTCTGCTCTTAACATTGACCCTGAATCTTTTGCTACATACGTCACATCGTTATTCAATCTTTATTTCCCTAATTAATTCTAGTAATTATCTGTTGCTGTTGCATTAAGTGGACATGATTGTATGATATGATGATTGTATCATAAAAAATAGTTGTATTGCTTAAATTGTCAGTTATGACTTGTCACAGCCTTAAAGGAATCAACATCTTAGCTAAGACACACAAACTCTAGTGTTTGTGCTACACTACAATATGATAAGCAGATGTCAGTTTTTTAAAATCAGAAACTGAATTAATGTTAATGTCATGGTTTCCCCAGAGGATGTGCAGAAAGGAGATGACATCAAAATTTCTCGACAGTTTAAAGATTCTGTGATTCGACCAATCCTGAAGGTAACACAATCACATAAACACACACATAAAACTAACCTCGTTTTGGTCTGGCTACAGTCACAGCAGGCTGCAGTTGTCATTGTTCACTCTTTGGTTCATCTACAGGCTCATTTCCGGAGGGACGAGTTTCTCGGTCGGATCAATGAAATTGTATATTTCCTGCCATTCTGTCACTCAGAGCTGCTACAGCTGGTCAGCAAAGAGCTCAACTTCTGGGCCAAAAAGGTAAATAACAATGTTTGCACTAACACTAACACATTGTACACATTATAGATATTTTTTTATATTAAACGTCACAGTTCCCAGTCCCTTATATTTTAGATTGTGGCTCATATTAACTGTCTTGCTGCCAGCTGAAGAGAATTTACAAAATCAGCTCCTCTTCAAACCAATTTATCATTAAACCAGCCACAACAAAGCTCAGCTTAGCGTATGTGTGTGAAGTACAGGGGGATTTACCTTCAGAGGCACGTCTTCAGAGCACCCCACATTTATAACATGGGTGTCCCTTAGTGAGAGTGGAAGGCCTCACCCACTTCATCCTGCAGCCGCTGAGCTGTGCAGAAATGCACACAGATCAATATTATGTGCCACTGTTACTCACTATAATGTGATTACAGTGTTTAACATGTGGAGCCTTCATCAATATTTAATTATTAATATTACAGCTGGTGTCCTGACAGCCAACATGGGCCCTGCAGGCGACTGATAGGGCCCTGACTCATGACTCATTTCACTTCATCTGTCTTTTTGAGTGCTGCTGTTTGGGGGCTCTTGTCTATTTCTTTGCTTTTCTGCCTTTAATTTTTTAAGTGCAGACGTCCCATAATAACTCGTCTCTGTCTGTGCTAACAGCAGAGATCTCATTATTACCGAATCCCCACAAGCCATTTGTTTGTCACTTTTATTAAAAGAATTAAATGTTTAGAGTTATCATTATTGCCTTACTATATAACTGGAGTAAAACATGGCATCTTATTTATTGGATGGAGTGTTAACATCCGCAGCTAAATGAGCTGCTCTGATCACTGCTATTGACTGGTGTTTGATTAAAACGCATTAAGGGCCTGTTGATTAGCGCTGGCAGACGCGCTGCTTGACAGTATCTCCCCTCAGCTGCTGCAGTTGTCTCTTTCTCGCCACCCATTCTTACTTTGTGTCCATCCTCTCTAACAGATCTGTGTTTTTGTGATACTGCAGGTCTCACCCTCCGCCCTCTTTTCACATTACCTCATCTCCCTCTCTGTGTCTTCAGGCTAAGCAGCGCCATGACATCACTCTTCAGTGGGATCGCCCAGTCCTGGACCTGTTGGCGGGCGGCTATAACATGCATTACGGAGCACGCTCCATCAAACATGAGGTATGCAGGCACTGCAGCACACAGACGGTCACATCTGGTGTCTGAAACATCTTTAAAAGCTTCAGCTTTCACTGTCTATCAACATTTTACTCACCCACTTTCTTATGTTCATGTAATGTTTCTGTTCTTTTTTTGTGAAGAAATGTTTAAACTGTGGCTTGATAAAACCAGGAATGAAACTTAAGGCCTCAACTTGGGCTTTAAGAAAGTATGATGTGCCTTACTGATGAGGCCTGAGTGATAAAACAATAGCATATGTATGTGAATATGTAACAGCGACAGACACCTCCAAATGCATTAGATGCAAACCTCTATGAAAAAAACAGCAAAAACAAAAAGTTTGGTTGCATAAATAAATCCCATCTTGATAACGCCATGGCTCATAACAGCCAATCATATTTCTTCATGAAAAAGCCCCTTCATCCTCGTTACTCACCAGTCGGCTGCAGTTCAGGTCTCCTGTGGCACACTAGTCCTTGGCTGCCTGTGGCCTCTCATCGCCTCCATGACTATCCTAGTTAGACATTGTTAGTATTAATGCCTTACCAATAAATTATTCTTTTAGTCTGTAGATCTCTTATTAGCCGAAAACAATGACTTGTTAATAAAATTGCCAATATCAGGAAAGCAGCAAAGCTTCTGCATAGATCCTCAGTCATCCAGGTCATGGTAATCCTAGGAGCTTCAGTAAAAAGCAACTGGACTTCTCTTGTAGGTTCTTGAAGACGTTTCACTTTTCATGTAAAAGTCCAGTTCATTTCTACTGAACGTCCTAAAAGTCAATTATTTTACAGCTGAAAAAGGATTTACAAAAGAAGCTAATGACTCAAAATGTAAATATATAAAGGCTGTATTAAATAATCTGACTATGAGCCCAACAGCTCAGACATAAAAGAAAAAAACAATTTGCTAGGCTTTTAAAACAGCAATAGAACTGATCTCTGCATTACCACTGAACTCGTCGCTGATCTACAGGTTGAGCGGCGCGTCGTCAACCAGTTGGCTGCAGCGTACGAGCAGGAGCTGCTGCCCAAAGGCTGCACTCTGCGGCTGTCGGTCCAATCAGAGTGCCAGGAAGAGCGAAGCTTGCCCAGTCTGCGCCTCGAGGTGGTCGGAGAGGACAGCTCACCGAGAACACTGGACATCCGGCCGCCCCTCAGCCCTGAACACTAACAAAAAAACAACACTACAACACAGGTGATATATGCAGTGTACACGCATATGAATTTGTCACATATCACCCTCATCATCATCATCATCATCATCATCATCATCATCATCATCATCATCATCATCATCATCACACAGTGTCAGGATGCTCTTGATGGATATCTCCAATAAAAGTACCTCTGATAAACACAACATCTCTGCCTCTCTGATTAAGTGCACACATGCAGTATTTACATGCCAACATTTATGTTTAGTTTGGTCTGATGACATTTACACTGTCTCATTTACAAGTCCTCCTACTGAGGAGGCAAAGAGGACTCAGTCTGTGCAGCTTCAGCAGCATCAGGACCATCAAACATCCTATCAGTGAATTACTCGCCATAACAAAGCTTTGTCACATTGTTTCCAGAAGACTGCTGTGGATCAGGTTTTGTTACATCGTGATATGTTACTGTGAGCATCATAGTGTAGAGAAAAGCCAAAATATTTATTATTTATTAAAGATATATAAAAGCAAATGGCCATAAAAAAAGTGTTATGCCTGATTTTAAGAGGGTGAATTTCCATTTTGGAGCCAATTAAACTGCGCAGAGATTTATCTAGTAGTCACACTTTAAACTAGCAAGTGATTTTATTTTTTCCTGACTAAATAACAGCCACTTGGCGTTCCTGTGAAGGAAAAAGAAGTATTACTAACCAAAGATAGTTTGATGTTGCCAGTGTGTTAGCACATCTCGTCACCAGCAGAGCCATGCTGACAAATAAATGTAAACACAACCTGCTTCATTCATTTCATGTAAGTAAAGAATGTGTTAGTGGAGAAATCTGAAGGAAAATGTCCCTTTGAATTATGGTTAATATCACTGCCTTGTAAATTGTTTCTCTTGATGCATGTTAATGTAAAGAAGTCTCGTCCATCACGCTCTGCTGCTGTAAAGTGTCTGATATTAAGAGAAATTTAGAGTCAGAGAAAAAAATACTCAAAGTGTTGCATCATAAATGTTTCAACAGCATGTTGACAAGGCGCCAAATGTAATCGAGTGACATTTTTCATTCTTGTATCCCAGCCTCCACCGTGTAAATAAAGTCATTGCAACAAAAAAAAAAAAGGGAATTCCTCTGTTTTTTTGTTCTGCTTGACAACTCCTGATGGATGGATGGATGGATGTGAGAGAAGCCTAAGGCTCTCCTGGGTGGGAATACTGCAACAATAACGCTTGTCCACCTTAGGAAACAACATGACAGAGGAATTTCCTTGGAATTCTGCTCTGCGTGGGGGTCTGTGTCGGACGCTGGGGGGGAATGCAGCGCGGTAAATGCAACAAAAATGCAGAGCGCATCGCACACACCCTGCAGGAATGTGTTCACCACGGGGAGGAATTAGCATGCACAAGAAAGAGACATTCACTCTTACTGTGCTCCGCCTGGACCCCCCAACAGCACAACCAGCCTGTTTTAGCCACATCTACACTGAGTCACAGCTGTTGGTGAGGAGGAAGTGTCTGTGGTGTTGGTAAATGACTGCTTATTACAGCATTTTTACAGCAGTCATTTTAAATTACTTAAGTCACACTTTGGTGCAAAAAAAAATAATTAAAAAGGCAAATCTGAAGATGTCACTTTTGGAGCTGCAACTAATAGTTTAAGTGTTTATTAATTCACTGATTATGTTCTTAATTTGTTGTTTGGTTTACAAAGTGATCTATAAAATGGTGATAAATGTTGATCACTGCTTCCCAAAAACCCACCTCAATGTCACTTTCTGTCCAAAACCCAGAAATATTCAGTTTACTCTGACAAAGGAGGAAAGAAACTAGAAAATATTCAATTTTAAGAAACAGAATCAGAAAGAATCAGGAGAATTTAGGCTTTTTTTTCTGAAGAATTACTCAAACTATCCATCCATCCATTATCTATACACTGCTTGATCCTCACTAGGGACCTTGTGGGAGGAAGCCGGAGAACCCGGAAAGAACATGCAAACTCACGCAGAAAGAACGCGAACCGGCGAACTCCTTGCTGCGAAGCAACAGTGCTACCAACTGCGCCACCTTGCAGCCCTTACTCAAACCAATTAACCAATGAACTTATTTGCTTACCCACTTTTATTCTGTTTACAAATTTGAAAACAAAGTATTAAAAAGTGAGATGATCTCAAAGATTTAAGACCCTTCCTGTAGTAATTCTCTGTCTCCTTTATGATTTCTATAGTTCTAATAATCATTGAGGGATGGTGGTTTTACCCAGATTCACCTTGTGCATTCATTAAGGCCTCAATCTGGCCTTAGAAGCCGTTTCCTGGGAGCTGAAATTCTTCTCCAATCGGTCCTCTTTACCACCCGCAAACACCGTTCCTGAATCTGAGCTTTCTCTGCGGTTAGATTAACTGTAGCTTGTGTTGCAAACCAACTGCCAAACACCTGAAATGTCATCTGCATGAAGCTGTTGAGGGTAATGTGTCGACACCCGCAGAGAACGAAGCAACAGGCCAGCAGATGTTTTTTGGCTTTTTTTTTTCTTAAAAAGAGACTCTTGAAAACGGCTGCATCTGGACAGTAGATCAGGTTTTGCCGCGATACCTTGAGGCTTTTCTCATCTCTTCTAACCCTCAAACACATCTACACTTTATGGTTTTAGGAAGTCAGAAATGTGTGTGTGTGTGTGTGTGCGACTGAGTGTGTATCCATTTACCCTCCCCCGAGGAGGAAGACAAGAATAAGAAGAGGAGGAGAAAGAGAAGAGGCTCTTAGTCTGTCCGTCAGGCTATTTCTGACTGCTGCCATTTCTCTGATTAGATTATGGAGAAACAGAAACCTGGCCCTCCATCGTCCTAACCTCCCTCTCCTCTTCTATCTGGCTGCATTTCGCTCACTCGCCCCATCCTCCCTCTGCCTTCTGCTCTCTCTCTCCCTCTCCTGTCTCTCCTCCACCTTCTCCTCTGCTGTCCATCTGTCTGTCTCTGTCGTTCCGTCTCCCACCTCCTGATAGAGATGGAGGAGAGTTCAAGGCAAAAATAACAGGCAAGTGAGCAGGAGGGTAGAAGGTCAAACACGGGATGAAGCGACACATGGAAAAACAGAAATATGGAAACAAAACAGACGTGTTTAGCAGAATGTGAATTAAAGTAGAGGCTGTTTGTTACTGTAGCCTGAATGTGAATTTTTTGGGGGGGAGTTTCTCAAAAGTAAGCTTAGTTTTCATGTGGACTCAGACAAAAGCTGAGCAGTTCTGTACATACAAAGACCACAAATAAAAGCTAAATCCAACACAAAGTGTCTTAGTGAGTGTTGGACCGCCGTGTTCTGTCAGAACAGCTTCAGTGCTGCTTAACATCGATTCTCCAAGTTTGAGGAACTGTACTGGAAGGATGAACAACATTCCTTCAAACGACTTTCCCTCATTTGATGTTCTGATGATGGCGCTTGTCTAGTACACGCTGTGAGAAATAAACGTTCTTCAAGGGTTCTTCAGAGGGTTCTCTGGTTCCTCAAAGCGCCATTACCAATTGAAGAACCTCTCGATTTAGAAGATGTTTGTTTACATACTTGATGTGGTTCTTTAAAGCACGAAAGGTTCAGAAAACAGTGTGTAACGCCGTCACAGCATCCCAGATCCTCAACTGACATCTTGTGATGTGATGTTCTGTCTGATTAACAGTCCAGAACCCAAAATGTTAAACAATACAAACTCTAATAGTTGACCTTTTTTTTTTTTTTTTCTTAAAAATGACTTTGACAACATCAAGCCCAGTTATCAAACTAGAACCATGTGGGTCCACAACTAACTTTCTGGAAAACGATTCCTTAAGAAGACTTTTTTGTTGAGGTTCCGTGGAGCATCATTTATGGTTAGAGGCACCTTTGGGGGTTTTAACATTCAGGTTTTTTTTCATTTAGCCTTTATTTAACCAGGTCGGTCACGTGGACATACAATGGCCTCTTTTTCAAGGGAGGTCTGGACAAGACAGTAGCCTGAGAAACATTAAAGTTCCAACAATTTAAAAAAACAAACAAACAATCAACATAAGTAAAATACATGCTCGATTTAAGCAACAAGATCAATTATTTACATTGAAACAACAAGTGCAATATGTAGTTGCTACAGAATCTCTCATATGGTTTTTAAAAGACCCAAGGGTGATGATCCTTTAGATTCAACGTGTTCTGCAGTGAGTTCCAGGCAGCAGGTGCAGAATACTTAAAAAAGTGCTTCCCAAATTCAAAATAAACTTTTGGCACATTTAATAAGTACAAAGGTTAAAAAGTTTTTGTGGAACTAAACATGGCGCTCCAATAGCGTCATTGCAAGGAATTATTTTTGGTTCCAGTTAGCAACTTGGTTTTTCCGAATGTGGCAGAGCTACTAGATTTCTCGCTGTAGAGGTGAAGGGTTCTGGTTCTTTCCTTGAATTTTTCACCCATCTGCATTTACTGTAGACACTTTACAAGGTGATTCCAGTGTTTTAAATATAGTGTACAGTTTAAATCTGCAGAAGGCGTAACTGAGCAGTTAACTGATAAGTAAAATATGAAACATCAATATAATTTGATAACTGCGCAGACTTTAAAGGTGCACACTCAAAAGATTTCTACGGAAGTATTGCATTCGTGGGGACTTTCAAGATCCAGTATCGTACCCCTTTCTCACAGGAGTTTTCTTTTAGTTTGTCACTAGTCTGTAGATCAATTTGAATGAAATTTCCTGATTTCAGTGAAAAGTATTAACCATCAGTGTGTCTGTTCAGATTATGAGGCCAGTCAGGGCTCAGAGGTCAAAGCGAGAACATGAGCTGCCATGTCCTCATACAGTTTGTGTCTTGCGGGGCCCTTTGTTGCATGTTTCTCTGTGTTCCAGTCTGGATGAAGCTTTGTGTTCAGGTGTGTCTGACTCCAGTGCAGTTATTGTAAGGTGTTCATTCATTCAGCCCAGCAGCAGCAGCAGCATCAGCAGCAGCTCAGAGAGGTGCAGCAGCCAGGTGGAGGTGGTGAATGATGAACGACTACTAGCGGCTCTCCCATTATCATATCTGTCCCTGCTCTTAACGGGGGATTTTCATCCGTGTCCCTCTGCACTCCTCTCATCTCTCTCTCCCTCCCTCTC